AGGAATCTGTGAATGACTTATTCGTGGCTAAGTGGCACATGATCACTGAGGCTGGAAATGCAAGAAACTAGCCAGAGGAAGGAAAATAGCCTTTTTAGGGGACCTTCAGGCAACTAGATGACGCATAGGATAGAGTGTAGGACTTGGAGTCAGGAAGACCCAAGTTCCAATTCTGCTGCAGATGCCATTTTGTGTGATGCTAGGCAAATCACTTACTCCTCTTTGTGCCTCAGTTTCCCCATCAGTATTCCTCATCCTTACTTCACAGAGATGTGAAGATCAAATGAGTTAATATATGTAAAGTGTTTTGCAAAACCTTAAAGTTCAATACAAATGTTAGCTACTACTTTATTACTATTAATAGTTCTCCTTGAGTCACACTAAAGCTGAAACCCATAGACGTTAAATGACTTGCCTATCAATGAAGTGAAATGACTTGCATATCATTTGAGGTGATATAACTAGTAAACGGATTTTAAATAATAGTGGTAATATTCCAGATTTATATCTGATAACAGTTTAAGGTTTTCAAAATGCTGTTTGTTCAGTCACTTTTTTTTTAGTTATGTCCAACTTTTGGTGACCCAGTTTGGGGTTTTCTTGGTGAAGACACTGGAGTGGTCTGACATTTTCTTCTCCAGTTTATTTTACAGATGAGGAAAACGAAGCAGACAAGGTTAATTGACTTGCCCAGAGTCACACAGCTAGTAAATGCCTGAAGTCAGATTTGAACTCATGAAGATGAATTTTCCTGATTCCATGTCTAGTGCTCTATTCACTGTGCCACCTAGCTGCCTGAAGACTTTCAAAGCAGTTTACAAATATATTATCTCATTTGATCATCAATATTCACAGATAAGTAGAGCTAAAAAAAATCTTCTAATCTAATTCCTTTACTTTCCAGGTGAGGAAACTGAGACCCAGATTTTGCAGATGTCACAGAGCTAGCTGCAATTCTTGAATCTGAATCCACGTCCTTTCCCACTGTACCACACTGCCTGTGATAAGAAGGACAAGGATGAAGATGATCAATCACAGAAACATTGTCAACGTCATTCAAGATTTCAGTGAGAACCTGAACCTGAGGGTTTAGGAACCAGAAGAGGAGTGTAATCAGAAAACCTCCTAAGCAAAGCTGCATATCTGCAGAGCAAGAGTAAGTTCATTAGAAGTGTACACTTCCTGATCTTGCAGCTTAATGTGAGGGCAGGAGCAGGGGTGTAGAGGAGGGATCAGGGCTGATTGGTACTTTATTACTAGCTTTGAAAGAAGAATGAGACAATCTGTAGGAAAGACTTCACTTATGAAGGATTTCATAACAAACTTTTCTATCCTATACAGTACATTTTCATCTAAAGGTTGTTTTCCTTCCACTTCCTTGCACACATTTGAGACCTGTTTTCTTACCCCCAGCTTCCTTTATCTCACCAGAGCTCTAGATAAGTAAGTTCATTTTAATTTAACCCAAATAAAATCCACCTAGGTAGCTCCAATAAAGAACAATTTCCCCAAGGCACAAGAAACCTGTAGGGATATGCTGGTCAACACTTAACAAGCTGTGACTGGGTGGGGGGGATATATGCTTGTAAACATTTAACTACCAGCTTTGAGTAGGTGGGGGATGTATGCAGAACATACTGTTGAGTTTAATCTGCATTATTAACCCTTTCTCCATGACTTTCTTAAGTGCAGACAACCAACGAAACAATAAATCGAGTCCTGACATGTAGTGTTTGCTGATTTCTGGGGTATAAATACTCACATTGAAAGTTTAACATGGGCTCTTGAGACTTACACAACTACTGCCTCCATCCCTTTTGGTTAGGCTTAAATTAGGTATATATGGAGTGCCTCTACTACCAACCCCAAAGGGAGCTGGGAAGTATAATTTGCAAGATATGCATGCATGAAATTTAATGCACAATGCAGTATAATAAATCCTAAGTGCCATATGAAAGCTACAATGTTATGGGAGTTTGGAAGAAGGTTGAATCATTATGGGTAGGACTAGCTAGGATTCCTGGAGGGAGTGGGATTTGATCTGGGCCTTGAGAAATGGTAATGATTCAAATCAACAGTGCGGCAGGAGGGTGGTTCAGGTGGGAGGTTGGGAAGCACTGAACAGGAGACATAGTGGAAAAGGCTCTGGATCTGGAGATCTAGGATCAGAATTAGATTCTGGCTCATATTCTTAATACCTCATCTGTAAAAACGAAGGGGCTGGACTCTGTAAGGTCCATTCTGCTTCTGAATCCTGGAACCCTGGCTCTCTAGCTCTGAAATGTCTAGCAGAGACAATAGAGACAATGGAAGAAATGGAAGGTGGGTGGAAGGAAATGTAGGAGAACGTGAGGTAATCAGAAATCTTGGGCAGGCTTCCTCCTTGTTTCAATTCAGTTTAATTCAGTTTAGTTTCTCAAGCATTTATTGAAAAGACTATTCCATACAAAACATGGTGCTAGGTAATGTAATTAATAAATATGTATATTTGTACATATATATATATATATATATATATATATATTTTCTACCCTCAAAAAACTTATAGGCAATAAATCAACAAACACTTATTAAGCACTTACTATGTACATCATACTAGACCCAGGAAATACAAAGAAAAGTGAAATCGTCTGTGCTGTCAAGGAGTTGTCTCTCTCAGGGAGGAGAGATCATACATGTAAGCATATACAAAGTCAGTACAAGGTAATAATTGGAAAGAGATTCACTAATTAGGGTGGATCGGGAAAGAGGTGATGAAATGATGTACACATCAAAAAACGATAAGTAACAATTGTAGTTGTGTACCACCTTAATGGTATATGTTCACACTCCCTCTCCCTCTCTCTCTCTCTCTTCCTCTCCCTTTCCCACTCTCTCTCCCTTTCCTTCTCCTCTCTGGGGTTTACTGGCTAGATTTCTTTCTCAAAGACTAAGCCTTAAACCTAATTCACTCTGGATCTCATAGATTTGACAATAACAGGTCCCTGCCCAAGCACCACTTAATGGTTCTTTTTTGGGCCCTCCTGGCTCAGAGTGAATGTAAATAGTAACTGTTCTCTTTTGGCCACCAACCCTGAGGGTTAAGTCAAAGTCAGTTTTAAGTCATGTCATCATCTCCGTGATGTCATGGTCCTCTTCAAGAATAAAGGACAAACATAACTATAGGGTATTGGAAAGCCCTCATTGCGACTGGGTAGTTTGAGGAGGCTTCTTGGAGGTGGTGAAATTTGAATTGAGTGTTGAAGAACTGGAGTGATTCATGTAAGTAGAGAGGATAGCATTTCAAGCAGGGGGACTTTGTGAACAAAGTTTAGCAGTCCATGAGCCATGAAGGCAGCTAGGTGGCACAATGGAGAGAGTCATGGTTCTAGAGTCAGGAAGACCTGAGTTCATATTTAGCCTCAGATGCTACCGGGCCAACCAGGAAAGGTCTTACTGAGGAGATGATGCCAGAACTATGGGTTCTGAGAAGCAGAGATGAAGAGGCAATATGTTCTGGTAACAGTAAATTCTTGTTGTTCTAGCTTGGTTTTTTTTTTTAACTCTCTCTCCCCTCCCACACCTTTTAAAACCTTTTCCTCTTTTAGAGAGGCAGCATGGTATACTGCAGTGTTGTATACTGAAGTGTTATCAGACTCAAATAGAAATGGGGGGGGTGTTAAAAACTAAAACAGGGCCACATACTGACTTAGCAAATCACACATGAACATAATCTATGTTCTATGATCTTTTTTATTTATTTGTTCAGTATTTCCCAATGACATTTTAGTCTGTTTCTGACTGCACTGTGAAGTAGCCACGGTGTGATTTGGAGGCTGGGTATTTGACATTTTTAATACAGGGGATGGAGTATTGGATTTAGAATAAGGGAAATCCAGGTGTGAATCCTGCCTCAAATTGTCAGATTGATCATCAGATTGACTACATTGATAGTTGTGTGACTCTGGTCACGTTTTTTAGCTTCTCTGCACTTTATTTTTCTTATCTATAAAATGATCTTGCTGACTGCCAAGTTCCCTTTTAATATTAAATCTATAATCCAAGGTGACTCCATAAGTGGACCCTCAAGGCTACCTAAGAGACGAGGAGTGTGAATTCCAATATAAGTGTTGTTTAAGGTTACTTTAAGATGTAGGTGATCGTATTTTGCCAGAGATATTGCAGAGATTTATCTGGAATCCTAGGCTCACCGTGAGATTCATGATTTAGATATGGGTTGGACTAGATAGTTTCTGAGATTCCCTTCCCACTCCAAACTCTGAGAATACTGTGATTTTATTGAAACTGCATATAAAAAAAAAATGAAACGCGAAGGGTAGAACCACTAACTTGCAATCTGTAAATCACCTGTGAAAAATTTCATGGATGAAGGTCCTGAGGGTTTAAGAACTTTGCCACAGCTTTTGAAAAAGACCTTCAGGAATGTGTAGGTTTTACAATTGAAAAAAGAAAAGAGATTTGAGATTCGAATTTAGCCTTTAGGAGGAGTACATTTTTAGGTGTTAGCCCATGGTGGCCTGTAGCCAAGAGGCAAGAGAGGTACTCTTTGACCCAAATCCAGGTGTTCTGCCCTGTATTTGTTCACATGTGTATTGTTCTTTTCAAAAGACTAACATGTTGTGGGTTGTTTATTGTGCTCTGAAACCAAAACAAAGAATCCTAATGGTTTGTTAATTCAAGTTATCTCAAGTCTGAGCCACTGGTTTGGAATGACCCTAAATGGTCTCAAAGTTCTTTTCTTTTCACATCCCTCTAAGCACTTTGCTCATGCCTTTGACTAATGCTACCCAAACAATAACTACTCTCAATGTTTTAATTTAAATGGAGATGGTTTTTGATGGCATTCCAAGTTCCTGCCAGTCATTAGTTTGCCTCTTTTTTTCCCCCTCCTTACTTTTATAACATTTTTCCACCTATCACCAACATTGAATGACTCACTAAGCCTTGAACCCCTTTTGAATCCTCCATGCCTCTGAATCTCTGCAGTTCACCTACTTTCCTCTTGTTTCAGGAATATTGAACAGAGACGGAAGCCAAGTCCTTTGGTTACCCCTAGTGCTTCATTCCTCTGGGCTCCATCCATACTTCCTGCCAGGAGAAGAGAACTATGCAGTGGTGGACCTTGGCTCTCCTAGCCCTGCTGCCTTTGCTCCGAGGGGATCCAACCACCACCCAAGGTAAACCTGACCCTCATATTTGGTAGAAAACTCTAGCCTTTCATGTCATAGCTTCTGTTCAAGTCCAGAGATGTGCTTTACAGTACAGTGAGCATTTAAAACAGACTTGGCATTTGGAAAGCATCTGCAGTCATTAATGAATGTATTCTTTTCAACAATTCTGCTGTAGTTCAATGTTCTAAGTGGAAAGAGAATTTGTAAAGTCAGACAATCCAAGCCCCTCTGCTGGATCTGTATACTCCTTAGCTGAAACCTTATGCAATTCACTCAACCCACTAAACCCCAGATTAAAAAAGACTTTGACAGATTAGTATGTTATATAAATGCAATAAGATGATTTTTTTCCATTTGGATTTATTATTTAAATTTTGTTATAATTGCCACTGTGGAAATTTCCTTTATCAATGCAGACTGACAATTGTTTGATAACGTCTAGTTTTCTACTGGGCAGTGAAATTATGTGATTTGCTCCTTGTCATCTAGCCAGTAGGTATCAGAGGGAGCATTTAAGCCTTCCTGACTCTGAGCCCAGTCCTTCTATGTGGTACTCCATACTGCCTTTCAATATGAAAATTTAAACTTTTTTTTTAATTTTGTTTTCTCAATTACATGTAAACAAAAATTTTTAACATTCATTTAAAAAAATTTTTGAGTTCCAAATTCTCTCCTTCCTTGAGGAGGCAGGCAATTTGATATTGATAATCCATTGTAGCCATGCAAAACATTTCCATATTAGCCCAAGATGAAATTTATTAAGTTTAAATAGGAAGCATACTTGGGTTCAAAAAAGCCAATGTCACAAGTCTGAGAGTTTTTCAATATGAAAAAATTATCTTTATGGTTTAGTGGCCTGCAAACTGGTGATAACCAAGACAATTTTAGGCTGCATTACAAAAATAGTTATAATGTCTAGGACTAGGGAGGTGAGAGTCTGGTTGTATTGTGCCACAGTCATACAACATCTATATTCCTCATGTTTAATTCTGAACATCACAGTTTTGAAAGTACATACATAAACTGGAGAGCCTCTGGAGTAGGGCAACCAGGATGGAGGACTTTGAATTCATGTCATAACACAGATAGAAGGAATTGAGAATGTTTAGCTTGAAGAAGAGAAGGCTCATGAAAAGGTGTGGGGGAGGGAGGGACAGAATGTAATAGCTGTCTTCAAGTATTTATAGGGAAATGTCAAAAAGGGAAGCAACCAATAAGGCTTTGTTAAGTGCCTTCTATGTATCAGGGACTATGCTAGGTGCTGAAGATAAAAAGACAGGAATGAAACACTGCTCTCAAGGACCTTAAATTCTAAAGTGGGGGGGTGAGAGTGCGAAAGGACAAGACATACACCAACTTGTACATATATAAATGTATTTAAAATAAATGCAAGGTAGCTTTTTTGGCATGAAGACACTATCTATGGTAGCCACCAGGCATTATATTATGTAGGAAACAGCTTTTAGGCATGGCAGGGACAGTCTGTACAAAGGCACAGGGAGAGGGAGATGGAGTGGAACTGATGGAATTGCTGCAATTGACTCCTTCTCAGAGGGCAGAGCTAGGACAATGGGTTGAAATTGCAAAGAGGTAAATTTAGATAAGGCATTAGGAAAATTTCCCTCCCTAATAATCAGATTTATCTAAATATGGAATATATACCTCAGGAGATAGTGGATTCAGCTCCACCTGAAGATCTTCCACCTAAGGCTAGGTAGCCAGTTGTTCAGAATGTTGTAGGGGAAAGTCTTGTTCAGGTGCAGCTTGGACTCTATTCTCTTCTTCTGTCCCTGTAATCAAGACCCACCTTGCTGCATACTGTCTCTGAAGACTGTGAGCATTACAACATCTTTCCCACCCACTATTGCACCTATGGCTAGCAAACTCCTTCCTGTTACTTTTTCTTTTACTTTTATTAATCACCAATTTCCTAGGAGTACACTATACCTAATACCACCCCTCTTGTTTCATCTTTATTCTCCTTAACAGGCTCTACCCAAGTCCTACTCCAACTTTGCCCATCACTTCCACTTATGTCTTCTGGAATTTTTTTCTGTAATGACCAAACTTCCCTTTAATCTGAAGTTCTTTCCCTCATATATCCATCTATTTACTTTTATTAAGACCTTCTGGCCAGAAGATTCTACATTCCTTGCTATGTTTTCTAGCACTGACTCCTTCACCCACCTCCCCTGTTGGTCTTGGAAGGGAAATTAGAATATTCTCTACTTCCTACTTCCATCTCCATTCCTCCTTTGCTGTAGGGTTCACTCAGCACCTTTCCTCCTTTGAAATTCATTCAACCAAAAATTTTCCCCTTATAGATTCAGTCAATTATCAAGTGCCTCCTATGTGCGAGATATTGTGCTAGAGATACAAAGAAAGGCAAGGCACAGTCCCTGCTCTAGAGCTCACAGTCTAATGAGGGAGACAACATGTAAACAAATATGTACAAATTATACATATATATGTATGTACGCCTATAAATAGATAGACGGATAATACATTGGATATAATAAACAGAGAGAAGACACTAGCATTAAGGAATCAGGAAAGGTTTCTTATAGAAAATAGGATTTGGAGTAGAACTTTGAAAGAAGCCATGGAAGTTAAGAGGTAAAGATGAGGAAGAGAGGCATTTCAGACATAGGGAACAATCAGTGAAAATGAAAAGTCACAGTGGCTGTTTTCTACTAGATCCAGGTTATCCTTCCTCCTTTCTCTATGAATTCAGTATCTGGCCTACTGTCTTCTTCCCAAATCTTGTGTTTATGGTAAGGCACTTCCATATCCATGTTGATGCTCCATTAAACATCCTAACTTCTATGTTTCTTAGACTCCTTAAATACCAGACCCCATTCCTTCACTCTACCTCAGCCACACACAGGGATTGTTATATTCTGGACCTCACCAAAAGTGAGTGCCACTCAAGATTTCCACTTTCTTGATCAAAAATTTTGATTTTCCTTTATCTGACTATAACTAATCATTCCCATCACTCTCTATATTTCACCCTTCCTAAATCTATTCTTCACTCTCATGGAGACCTCCAATCCTTCCACTCCTCAGTACTTTCTCCTGCTCTGACTTCACTGTTGTTCATCCCCAATCTCAACTCTTTGCAAGCTTCTCCAAACTAACCAATGATTTCACTGAAAATATATTTATTGATATATTTTGTTTTTATATAACCTAAGTTTTCTCCTTTATCTCTTCCCCTCCCCAAAAGCCATCCTATATGATAAAGAATATTTTTAAAAGAAGAGGAAGAAGAGAATCGCCAGAATCAATACATCAGGGAAAAAAAACGTGAAAATACATAGAATGTTTCCCATCCATAGACCTCCCACCTCTGCAAAGTAGTGTGTGTGTGTGTGTGTGTGTGTGTGTGTGTGTGTGTGTGTGTGTTTTCTCACATCTTTTCTTGGGACCATACTTGTTCTTTGTAATTTTGCAATTTTCGTGTTTGATTGCTGGCAGTTGCTCTTTCTATTTACAATATTGTAGTCATTATGCATATTATTTTCTTGACTTATTTAACCCTATCAATTCATGTAAGTCTTTACATGCTTCTCTGTAGTTATCGTATTTGTTGAACAACCATCTCTTAATTGCCAAACACGATGATCTTTTATCAGTTCTCATCCTTGATCTCTCTCTACTGCTTTTGACACCACTGACCAACTTCTCCTCTAGGGTAATATTTTCTTTTTGGTTTTCTTAACACTACAATCTCTCCTGTTTTTCTGCCTATTTATCTGATCACTCCTCAGATTCTTTTATTGTTTCATTTTGATATCTTCTAAATGGATATTTCAAAGAGCTTTGTCCTGGGTCCTCTTCTCTTTTTTCTCTATACTCTCCTGGTGACCTAATCAGCTCAGACAAATTTAATTATTATCTCTACAGAGTTGACTCACAGATCTCTCTATCCTGCCCCATCTCTCCTCTGAGCTTCAGTCTCCTGTCACCAACTGCTAGCTGGGTATTCCAAACTGGATGTCCTAGAGTGTCCAAACTGGATGTCCTAGAGACACCTCTCTAGTGCATTCTTTCTCTCTCCCACATTCATAACCTTGACTATTCAGACAGCATGTTCAATTAGCTACCAAATCTTTCCCTTATAAATGTTCACAACATCTCTCACCCATTCTCTCTGCTCACACAGCTACCACCTTGGTTTAAGCCCTTTTCACCTTGTTTGGATGATTGCAGTGCCCTCCTAATTGGTCTCCCTGTCTCAAATCTTTGCCAACAGCAATCCATTCTTCACACAACTGCCAAATTTATCTTTCTTAAGCATACATCTGACCATGCCAATCCCCTTCTCAATAAACTCTAGTAGATTCCTATTGCCACTAGGACCCAATATGAACTCTGCTTGGCTTTTAAAGTCCTTCACAACCTAATCCCAACCTATCTTCGCAGTCTCATTAGAGTCCCCTTTGCACACTGTCCATTTAAACCAAATTGCCCTTCTTTCTCTTCCTCCCTCTTCATACCTCATTCCACATTAATACCTCTGCAATGGTTACTTACATGCCTGGAATTTATTCCCTTTTCATCTGAGCCTCATTCTTCCTCCAACACACAACTCAAACACCAGCTTCTAGACAAATCCTTTCCCAGTCTCTGTAACTGTGAGTGCCTTGTTTTGTATTTATTGGGGAATTGCTCATATATGAACATGTCGTATCCTCTGAAAATATGTAAGCTCCTTGAGAATGACATTTTTATTCTTCCTATTTGCATTTCCTGGTGCCCGACACCTTTCAGGAACTTATTAAATGCTTATTAATTGATTCATCAATGTCCATTGAAGTTTTTACAACTCTAAGACTGTGATTTATGGGATAACTGTTCTACCTATCCCTAAAGATTGTTGTGAGAACAAAATAAATGAGATAAGAGATACGAAAACACTTTGGAAGCTATAGTATACTATGTACATATGAGTTATAATTATTTATTAGGCAATAAAACTGAGACCCAAAGGAGTCAGCAAGTCATTCCAGTGGCCAAGATTGTAGTTCTACTCTTGGACCAACAGAAGGAAACATCCTGGCTAAATTTGCGAGAGGCCCTAGCTAACTCTTTCTCTCTCTTTTCCCTGGGGAGAAAAGGGAAAAATTATGAAATGAATCACCTAACTCAGCATTAATTTGGAAATCTGAGAAGAGTTTGTTAGTTAAGACAACCAATGCTAACTATACATGGATTGTTTGTAGAACAATTTGAGAGCCTTTTAAATGTGACACGCACATATTGCCTAAAGAAAGTCGGAGTATATATTTGCATTAAGTTCTTCCTATTCAATTTTTTTGATATGACCAATCAGTCAATAAGCCTTTATTAAGCACTTACCAAATGTCTGGCTCTGTGTTAAGTGCTGGATTTATAAAGGAAGGCAAAAATCATATGTGTGTGTGTATACACAATGTAAATGGGAGGTAATCTCAGAGAGAAGGGAGAAAGGATCCTGCAAAAGTCCTTTTTGACCATCCTGTGGGTAGAAGGGATTGGAAGGATTAAGCCAGAAGAGACAATGATCCTTTTTTTTTTTTCCATTTGAATAGCTTAGGGACTGTGAACAGGAATCCTTCTTCAGTTTGATAGGACCACAATCCATGTTATCTAGTTTATTAATTGCCTTCTTATAAGAAGAAGAGGAATAAGAATTTCTATAGTACTTATTATATGCTAGACACTGAGCTAAGCACTTTACAAATATTATCTCATTTGATCCTTCCAAAGTCCTGGGAGGTATTATGATCTTTATTTTGCATTTGAGGAAGTTAAGGTTAAATGACTTGGCCAGTGTCACCCAGCTAGTAAATGCCTGAGACTGGATTTGAATTCAAATCTTCCTGACTCCAGGCCCACTGCTTTATTCACTGTGTCACCTTATAAATATTTCCTGAATGCATTCTTTTAAATGAAATAACAGATGAAAGGATCTGGTAAAGAAATTTAGACAATTTCAAAGGACTATACAAATACAATGGTTTCAAATTTATATAGTGGTCATGCTTTTCTTTTCTTATGAGAATGAGCCTTATGAGATATATAATGTAAGTCATATCATCCCCATTTTAGAGATGATAAAACTGAGGTTCAGAGAGATTAAGATATTTGTCTATTCTCTATAGTCATTGTGCTAGTTAATGTTGAAGCTGGGGCAGAACTTTGTCTTCCAATTCCAACATGTCACTGCAAAGTTGATGATGGAGATGATGATGCTTTTTTTTTTTTCTGGAGTCAATAGAAATAGCAAGACAGACTCTATTTGGTGGCAGAGTGGATTGATCTGTGAATAGCATCAGGAAGATCTGAATTCAAATCTGGCCTTAGACATGTATTAGCTATGTGACCCTGGGCAAATCACTTAACTTCTGTTCATTTCAGTTTCCTCATCTGCTAATAATAGCACCTATCTCCTGGGGCTATTGTGAGGATCACAACCTTAAAACTCTGTATAAATGCTAGTTACGATAATGATGATGATGATGTGAGTCCTGGGAGTAACAAGACATGCTTATACCAGTGGTTTTATAATTCTTGGCTTCTCAAATCACTGGCTACTGGTGCAGAAAGGGAAAGAAAAGGAAAGAAATTGATGCAACCATCAGGCACAGTTATCTTCTCTCTTCTTTTTTATTCATGTCACATAAGCAGATTAAAGATATGCTTTAAAAAAATTGAGGATTCAAGGCTGGGCCACATGTTTCCTATCTGGAGAGGAGGAGTTATAGAATAGATTTGACCATGCTTTGTGGAGAAACAATCATCAGCATTTTTTCCTTGTGCTTTTTCCCCTACTATTTTTCATTTAGTTTCTCCAGCAGAGAATGATATCCCCAGACAAGAGGAAATTAGTAAAGAATCCAGTTCAAATTTAGAGTTGGATTCTAACCCTGGATTTGGTGAGGAATCAAGTGAAGAAATCATTGAAGGAGACTCCACTGGGAAAGCCAGTAGGGAAGAACACAGGAAAACCAGCCCCAAAACTAGATGGAGAGCTACAATGGAAATCCAGAGAGGATGCAATCTGGGAGCACAGAATTGATTACAACTGGGAATACAATGAAGATTTTACCTGGGAATCCAGTGGACAGTCAAATGAAGAGTATAATAAGGAAGTGATTGGTAAGTACTTTTCTCTTTTAGAAATTTTAGAAATTTAGTGTTGTGACTGGGACTTTGTTCTAGAGCATCCACAAGGGGATGATGGCAGGATTCTTCCCTGCAGCTACCTGGGCTTGCTTCACAGTTCTTCCCTGATCTATGTAGTTCTGGTGTCCTACCCAACCCTGACCTGCCTTGAGTCCCATCCCTACAGTGTCCCTCTCCTAATACTTCTCCCTATTGCCCCTAACATGCCCTCTGTTTCCTACTTTCCCTTACCCCTTCATACATGCTGTCAGAAGTTTCATGGGAATATGCACAGGCCTTTCTAGAGGACAGCTCCCTTGAGGGCAGAGTCTCAAGGAGAAATCTCCCAAATTCTCTACTTTCCTGATGCCTTAAGTCACTCCCCTCCCTGCCAATCCCCACAGCTTTGTGTCAAGACTGAGGTTTGAGATCTGCTGTACCCCTTGAACTTCATTTGCCAGAATTACAGTTTTAGCTTTATTTAGAGTTCACCCGAAGCAGTTAGACTCTGTGCTTGTAGACCCTGAAGTACAATTTCTCCAGTTCAAAAGTTATTAAAGTGGTTCAAATTCTAGGCAAGAGCAATGCAGAGTTCCAGAGTTCTGATTTCTGATTGAGGAGCTCATACTAGAATTAATTAGTTATCAGATCCTGTTATTATCAAGTTATCAAGTCCTCTTCTCTGTTCCCATCCCCACTATCCAAGTTGAGTTTATAATAACCTACTGCTAAGGTCTTCCTGCTTTCACTTCTCCCTTACCTGTCACTCCTTATTCCTCTCAATATTGCTGCCAAGCTAATCTTTATGCATAAAGTTGGTGAGGCCACTCATTTGCTTAAAACAGCAACAAAACAATAACAACAACAAGGGGCAGCTAGATGGTGCAGAGGATAGAGCACCGGCGCTGAAGTCAGGAGTACCCGAGTTCAAATCCGGCCTCAGACCAAACACTTGCCACTTACCAGATGTGTGACCCTGGGCAAGTCACTTAACCCCAATTGCCTTAAAAAAACCCCAAAACAACAACAACCTTAACTGGCTCCCTGTTACCTTCTGGATAAACTTCAAACACCTTTTCTTAGCATTACAGACTATTCCAAGCAGGTGCCAACTTCCCCAACAAACTCTGGTTTCTCTGCCTTTGCCAATATTATTCCCTATTGTTGGCATGTCTTCTTGATTTTTTGAATTCCTACCTGATCTTTACAACTCAAACTTAGAGGAAGAGTGTGGTAAAGTGGAAAACGCATTGGACTTGGAGCTGGGAGACATGCCTTAGAATTCCACCTTTGTCACTCACTAGAAGTATGACCTAGGGCCCTCCCTAAAAGTGCAATTCTGATGTCTTGCTGAGGTATGGAGGTGATCTTGGGTTTTTGAAGGCCATGTCCAGATGAATGGAAGCTCTGGAAGGTTCTGGCGTACTAGAAAGGTTATCAACATGCTTCTAGAGACAAACTACATTTGTTTTCCATGAAATAGCTAGGTGGCTCAGAGGATGGAGCTCTGGGCCTGGAGGCAGGAAGACCAGAGTTCAAATATGACCTCAGACAGTTACTGGCTGGGTGACCCTGAGCAAGTCAGTTAACTTCTGTTTCCCTCAGTTTCTTCATCTGTAAAATGGGGATAATAATAACATCTACTTCCCAGGGTTGTTATGAGGATCAAATGAAACAGTAATTATAAAGTGCTTAGCATACTGCCTAGAACACAGTACATAGCCTATACATGTTAGCTATTATTATTATTATTATTATCATTGTTAATTACCTGGGGGCTGGTCCTCAGGTGATATTGGCAGCTAGGTGTTAAAGTAGATAGACTACTGGGCCTGGAGTCTGGAAGACCTGAGCTCATAAATGGACTTAGGCACAGTAGCTGCGTGACCCTGGGCTTAATCTCTGTTTGCTTCAGTTTCCTCCTGTGTAAAATGGGGATACTGATAACACCTATCTCATAGGACTGTTGTGAGGATGAAATGGGAAAATATTTATGAAGTGCTTTTCATAGTGCCTGGTTCACATAAATGCTTATTTCTTTCCCTCTTTACTTCTTGATGAGTTCTTTGCTCATATCAACCCATGAAGCAAAGAAAAACGCAAAATGGTCCCTTGTCCTGTTTAGTTCTTCTCCATCTGTAGTGATGGCTGTAGGGTGGCTCAAAAGAGGTGGAGAATGCTAACAGTCACACCATTTTTAGATCATCTAGAAACATTAACAGTGATGAAGACCCAAATTGTCGCTTGATTTCCATACACTTCATCTAGAAAATCAGAGTATTAGACTTTACTGTGGTAGAGTATTAAATATTGACTGACTTACTAACTTGATTCCATTTTAAATGCTGACTCTTTCCCCTTTCTTCTTTGATGACCAGCTTGAAACTCACGTATCAAATCTCTAAGATTATAACCTATAGAAGACTGATTTGCATTACTAGAGGGTGCTTCTTCACAGGGATTTCTTATAGCAGTAAAATCATAAGTCTGGACCAATGAATTTAAAAGTATTGTTGTGTATTAGTTACTTATTCTTGTCTCATCTTCTCTCTTGACTGCAAATTCCATGAAGACGAGCATTGTGGATATTGCTAGGAATCATGTAAACTTGTTCTCCATTCTATACATGCATAGGATAGTCCTGTGCCCAGGGTGGGCACTTTAAAATAATTGTTGGATTAAACAAGAAAAAGAATGGATTCCAATCTTATTTAGTGATTGATAACAACAGGTGTGTATTATAAACAAATTTCTAGCTAACTTAAGAATTAATTAAATAAAAAATAGTTTGAGCTTCAGCTATACAAAGAAATATATTACATGTATTCACCTGAGAAATTTGCTTAGCTCTTGTTATCAGTGTCCTGAATATAGACTCCTTCTAACTAAAAATAGAGGACTGACTATAATTTGCCCTTTGTAAATGCATTCATTTGTTCATTCATGCATTCATTGGTTCACCTACAAAAGTAATTTAATTCAGCAAGCATTGACTAAGCACCTATTAGGTGCAATGCATTGTGTAAGGCTTGGGATACAAAGCTCAGATGACTCAGTCTGCTTTCAAGGTGCAGTGGTTAAAACAAATACACACACACACACACACACACATAATAAAATAAATAGTGCCCACACACATGTACAGATAAGTGTCTGTATATACATAGAAGCAAACTGCTCTGAGAGACTTAAGAAGAGAGAGATCTCTACCAGCTGGCAGAAACAGGGAGAGGCTTCATGGAAGAAGCGGCAAGTCGGCTGGGTCTAGACAGAAAAAAAGGATTTCAGTAGGTGAATAGTGCAAGGAGATCCTTCTGGGAATGGAAAATAGCATGTAATGGGGGAAGGGGCAGGATTAAGTATAAGGAAAAGGTTGATTCAGTTATTTGGGGTTGGTATGCAATAAAATTAGAAAGTTGGAGCTGGATTGCATAGAACTTCAAATGTCAGCTTAAGGAGATTTTAATTTATCTAGTAAACATTTGACAAATAATTGTTGAGCCTCTACTCTGTACAACAAATGTGTACTATGAACCATGGGGGACATATTGGGGAATAAGACATCACTGGTGCCCAATAGGAACACAAGACCTTTCCTTCTCATAACCAGTGACAGAGGGAACAGCCATTATCTTTCTTTGTGTTTATGATTCTAGATGATTCCAGCCCTGGGATGACAGTGGTCAACACAACAGTGAGACCTGTAAGTTAATTTCATTTTTGGGGGTTGTTGATTCTTTTAGATATAACTTTGCTTGCAGTTTTCACTTTCTGAATTCTTTGACACATCCCATACTCATGTCCTTTATCTAAAGGATCTTAGGAACTCGGTCATTGGGAATTTCCATATGTCTTCCCTTGCACAGGGACTAGAATTTTTATGAGATGCTTAACAAATGACATCTCCCCAGGGCAAGGTATCGTCTTGAAGCTCTAGGTTTATTGGACCTTAGGGTATAAGCTTCCTGAAAGATAGTTGCCCTAATTCCAGCACCTGTTCCTACTCTCTAGTTAGATGGGAAAGATTAGACACTTTCTCTGAAGATTGGAGCATAGTCCTGACTCTGATACTTAATTGCCTGTGTGGGCAAGTCACCCAAACCTCTCTAGGCTTAAATATTTCCAGGTATACAATGAGGATAATAACAATTCACACCTCTGGTGTAAGGCTTATTATCCCCATTTCACAGATGAGATAATGGAGTCTCTGTGGAATTTAACTGCTCACAGGTGGCTTGCTTTGCTTAGGGACATAAATCTGGTGTCTGATGTAGAATTCAAAGCCAGGTGTCTTGATCTTTAGTTGAGGGCTCTTTAATTGAGGGCTCCATTCTCTACACCAAGTACTTATATTACTATCTACCTCCTAGGATTGTTGAGAGGCTATTGGCAACCTCATGCCTTGCAAACCTTAAAGCAAGGGCTCTTAACATTTTTTGTGTTGTGAATTCCATTGTAAACTTGGTGAAGACTACTAATTCCTACTTAGAATAATAATAAAAAAAAGTGTAATGCAGGGTTGTGCTAAATTTCAGTTGTTAGTAAAAATAAAATTGTAATAATATTTTCCAGTAAAATTTATGAATTCCCTAATCTATCCATGGACCCCTTAAATGTCTTTGAACATCTGATTAGGAACCTTTCTTTAAAAGCATTGGACGAACTATTATTTTTATTAAACATTTTACCAATATATTTGTTTTTACATTACCTCCAATTCTCAATATGTTCATCCCCCCTCCTATATCCAAAGTGGGCCAGAACCATCCCTTGTAGTGAAGAGAAGAGAATAAGAAAGCATGCAAACAAAGTTACCAATCCATCAACTGAGGCTGGCAGTGCATGCAATGTTCCATGTAGCTTACATCTCTGCAAGGAAGGGAGGGAGTTGCATGTTCTCTTCTCTTTTACGTAGGTGCCTACAACATTCCTAGAGACCAAAGAGATTTTTAAGATGAGCTCTCACTGAGACAATCAAAAGATGCTTTGACTTCATGGTTCTAAGAAGTGATATGGGATGGGAGCAGGAGGGAAGAGTGGCTGTCAGCCTTCAGGGTGGGTACCTTTGACTCTCTATTATCTTTCAGAGCATGAAGATGGTATCAATTGTAACAAAGGAGCCAACACCTGTTCCTTAAAGAAGAATGTAAACTGATCGACATGTCTTTTCTGGCACCAGATGAAAATGAACAGTTGTTATTATTACAGTTTTGATTCATGGTTTTTGGGTAGGAGGGATTGGCTTTTCAATTTTATTCTCGATGTGAATGACCCCAGAAAGGCATGGAACCGGCTTTGCCTATACCAGGTGTAGGATTGCCCGGAATGTATGTCTTAAAGTCAGGTACCTGTGCATTAGGAGACAAAGTGCCTTCAGCATTCTTAGAGCTCTTCCACAGGACCTGGGTTGAATAACCTATTCACCAAGCAGGCTAGGCAAACTTCCCAGAAACCAGATTACTCTCTGGCTACTCCTGTTTCCTGCATTCCCTCCTCTGTCTTGATACAAAAAGGGAAGGATTATCCTTTTTACCCCAGCACAAAAGAGGAGGCATCTGAATTCTCTTGTGTTCCTGCTCTTCCCTCATATTATTCTGTAAAATGTGATTTAATTTTAAAATAATTATTTTAGTGTTACCTTTCAAAATATTGTTGTGAACACAAGCCACCATGTGATACACACACTCACCCTTCACAGAACCCTCCCATGTAACAAAGAAGTATAGTTAAGCCAAACAAAGCAATGCATTGGTCCTGTCTTGTAGCACATGGCTCATTCTCCATTTCTTTGGTGATAGGAGGGAGGAGGCATGCTTCGTAGATAGGCCTCTGAATTCAAGGTTGGTCCATGTGGCATCAGTCTTCTGATGTCTTTCCATGTTAATTTCCTTGCCGTTATCCATTTGCATAAATTGTTTTTTTGGTTCTGTTTACTTTTTTTTTTTTAAAAGCTCCAGTTCATGCAAGGCTTCCCCAGTTTCTGAGTCCATCATATTTGTTGCATCTCATAGAGCAATAAGATTCCATGACTTTCATGTACCACATTGTTCAGACAGTCCTCAATCCGTCTTCCAGCTTTTTGTAAACACAGGAAATGATATTATAAATGTACCTTTCCCCTCTCTCTTTGACTTTCTGGAGATTTGTACGTATTAGTATTGCTTGGTCTTTCTCCCATTCTTCCAACCTCTCCCAGGCTTGTGAGTGGTAACGTGGATAAGTTTCTTCAAAGAGGTCCTGAATGTCTGTGATTCCCTGTGGACTTGCACATCTTTTTTGTGCATTTAGAAAATGCATCAATGACCCTATTGTGCATCTGTTTTTTCCTCTTTTGGGGAGAAGACAACATGATTTCTAGTTCCCTTCACCTTCCTTTAAATATCCACCTTCCCAAATAAAAAAGAAAAATGCAATCCTTGTAACAAATAAGCGTAGTCAAGCAAAAACAGTCCTTGTGTTTGCCATGTGCAAAAAATGTGTGTCTCATTCTCTCCCGAGGGTTCATCATTTCTCTGTCAGAAGGTGGGTACCATGTTTCATCAATGGTCCTCTGGAATGATGGTCAGTCATTACACGCAGCAGAGTTCTGAAGCCTTTCAAATTGTGTTTCTTTACAGTGTTCTTGTTGCTATGTAAATTGTTCTCCAAATTCTGCTCATTTCCTTCTGCAGCAAATCTTCCCAAATGTCTCTGAAATTGTTCTTTTTGTCATTTCTTGCAGTCTAATAATATTCCATTACAGTAGCATACCATAATTTTTTGTTAGTCATTCCCCAATTGATAGGCACCCCCTCTTTGTTTCTTATTCTTTGCTACAACAAAACATTTTGCAATACATATTTTTGTACACATGGATCTTTTCTTTTTTTATTTCATCTCTTTGTGATATTGGCTTAATAGTGATATTGGTAGGTCAAAGGTCACAGGATAGCCATTTTTGGGGCACAGACCCAGTGATACCATTACTAAGCATATATCTCAAAGAGATCAAAGAAAGAGGAAAAAGGACCTTAGTAATCTTTATGTTGATATTACTGATATAATTGATATTGATGGCAATTCCTTTTAGTAGCAGACCAAAATTGGAAACTAAGGGGTACCTACTTTTTGGGGAATGGCTAAAATAATTATAGCATATGACTATAATGGAATATTATTGTGTGCTCTAAGAAATGATCAAATGAACAGTTTTAGAGGAAACTAGGAAGACCTCTGTGAACTAATGCCAAATGAAATGAGTAGAACTAGAAGAACTAGGAGCATTTATATAATGACAGCAATATTGTAGAGAAAAACAACTTTGAAAGACAAGAACTCATTAATGTGAGAATTTGTTTTGCTGAATCATGTAGATTTATGATGTTTCTTTTTCTTCATACATTATTGTTCAATGGGGGGTAGTAGGAAGCAAAGATAATTAATGCTTGGAAAATAATTTTTTAAAAATGAAGTAGATATGATCCAAATAACCAAATGTTAATCTCAAGCTCAGCTTCTGGAGTGTCTCAAGCAAGTAGTTTGTAAATTCAAAGGGATATTTTGTGAGCTTCAAGATAAACAAATGAATTAAAAAAAGCATTTTTAAAGATACTTACCATGTGCCAAATATTGTCTTATGTGTTGAAGCAAAGATAGTCTTTGCCTTCTATAAGTTCACATTTTAATGGGAGAAACAACACCTGTAAGAGTGTGGTGGCTAGGGAGGGTATTTTGGATCAGAAAGCTACAGGGATGGTGAGAGGGGCTATAAGTAAGGAGACTGATGCACTCCATCCAGGGGAAAAAAGCTGATCTGATCATGGTTAATGGTTCCAGAGATGGAGGGAATAGAAAGAGGAAAGAATAGTCCCATGCTAGTAAAATGGGTTGGCAAAGAAGTTGTAGAAGAGGTGGTTAAAGAAATGAAAAGTAAAGAATGGCTTTGTTGTTGTTGAATTGTTTCAGTCGTGTCTGATTCTCTGTGACCCCATTTGGAGTTTCTTGGTAAAGAATTGGAGTGGTTTGCCATTTCCTTCTCTAGCTCATTTTTTTTTTTGAGGCAATTGGGGTAAAGTGACTTGCCCAGGGTTACATAGCTAGTAAGTGTCTGAGGCCAGATTTGAACTCAGGTTCTCCTGACTCCAGGGCTGGCATTCTAGCCACTGCACCACCTAGTTTCCCAAAGAATGGCTTTAGGCTTTCCTGAAATAGTATCTTGAGTTAGTCACCAATCAGTAGATTGAAACTCCCTGGTGGCAATTTTTCAAGACATGGTCTTTGGCATGGGCATTGAGGAGACTGACAAAATGCTAAGTACCCTCTTTTGTTTGATCTTCACAATAATCTTGAGAGGTAGGTGTTATTATTATCCCTATTTTGCAGATGAGAAAAATAAAGAACTTAGACTGGTTTTAATGTAATCACTTGCAATGTGATTCTTCATTGTTCTTTGAGTGAGTGTAGTTTTTATTCATTAGAGATTATGATGTTATGTCAATATGTTAGCTTCATGTCACAGATAATGAAACGTGTCCGTAACTGGAGGATGGATCCACACTAGGCAAGGTGTAACATTGCCCATCCAAGTCACCTGGAAAATGAGTTAACATGATTTTTCTGTCCTCCCCTTTTCCCCATCCACCCCCTTCTCTACCATTACTCTGCTGTAGTCTGTTTCTTTGTCCACTCTACTGATGCTAAGAACTGTGCTGTTACCCATTGCCCCTGCCACTGGGGCTTGAACTGTTGCCCTCTACCCCTGGCATCAAGTGCTCTTTCCCTGTGCCAGGGACTGGCAGTGCCTGGCCAGGAGTGCTGCCATGAGTGCTGTCACTCTGAGAGGCCTGACATTGAACCTCTGTGTCAGCCTGGGCATTGCCCCACCCCATGCCAGGGCTGCAACTGCATGTTGCTGGTGCCATAGGCCGGAGAATCATTGCCTCTGGTTGGTCCACAAAATTGATGAGTTTAGTGAAGGCCCCAGGATATGGTTCAGGCAAATCAAAGTGGTTTTGGCCATCCCGGCTTCCTGTTATTGGCCATCCTTTCCAAAGAAGAAAATTCCTCCTGCTGTCAGTAAGCTCTCACTGAAGGACCCAGGTGTTCCCTGCATCTGGAACTCACAAGGCTGCCCCCAAGGCTCATATTGCTTACCTATACTCAGAGAAAGAGATTCAAAGTGAAAAACAAAAAGACATAAAGGCAGATACTCCTTACATGCACTCTATTCACCATGTGCATACGTTTATCATTTCTGCAAGAGTAGGAGGGGGTGCCTGCAGCCTGTGCGCTCTACAAAAGACCCTTAACTCACCCCTCCATGGAAATACTAGAGAAAAAAGATGCATCTCACAGTTTGAAAGCGAGAGTGAAAGTTGTTTTTCTTTTAAAGCTTTTAAAACTCATGCAGCCCTTTCTACTACCCTCAAATCCCCATACACAGACACTAACACAGACACAGACACACACACACACAGATCCTGGGTATCTCTGAGTTAATTGGTAACAGGAGGCATGTTCTGCAGCTACACACTTTATAGAGAAGGTGACCACCTGCTGGAAGATGAACCCAATATCCACACTAGCTTGCTAGAAGTCATTGACATTGAGGAAGATTATAGAACCAAACTGAATGTGAAATAGTTCAACAATCCTTCAAATTACTTCACGTTTGATGTTTTAATCTTTGAGGAGAGTGTAAAAATAGTTATAAGTTGCTACTGCTTGCTTAAATTTTTTATCATTTGTGTTTAGTGTTTCTTTTGTTTGGAAGAAATAAAAAGCTTTCTTAATACCTGAATTACATTGTGTACTGGGTACCTTTCTTCTCCCAGCTTTTGGGGAGACCCTTGCCATGAGCCAAACCCAAGCCATAAGTGATTTTCCCTGAAGTTCTGTAGTAGGACATTTAAAAAGCCAGAGAGCTCGATAAAAAGAATTTAATCCTTTGCTGTGGAGGCCAGGCTCATACGAGAATGAATCTGGTCAGTGTGTGCACTGGTCTAAAGAGAGATTCCTTAGTGAAGAAGAAGAGGGTGAGGGCCCTTGTCCCTCAAGGTCCAGTATCAGATGTGGGTTATCGCACATATTTAGGTATAGTTTTGCTTTTAATATTTTTATAACTTCAAGTGCCATCCTGCCACACCTTGAGGGATGTAAATGCATTCATATTGCTAGCTATAGAATATAAATACATATGCACACATTTACGTACAACTATACTGGTAAATAAGGCCTTCATCCTCCCATTATAACCTTTGTATATTGGGAGTTTATTTAATATTTCACACATAGTATAAAAAGAGAAAATGACAACAACAGAAACAATGATAACAACATCAACACTGTTGTGAAACTTTTGATACCTGATTTAAGAAAATATCCCCAGACCAGTCTTCTGATAATTTAAGAGCTAGATCTCCCTTGGATAATTCATGTCTGCATCAATCAGAATGCATCCTGTAAGTGTTCGTTGTCCCCCCTTGTATGCCTTTATCCCTAAAACCAGCTATAATTCCATCCTCTTTCCCCAAAAACATAAGTAATGACATAACATTGTAGGGAAACATTGTAGGCAAAATGTCTATCTTGGCCCGGATAGCCCCCTAACACCTAGGGTAGATCCCTCCAAATACCTTGTTAGCTGACTGAGTAAATCAGTGAACACTCTACTTTCATACTCTCATTCTCCTCAATTAATTATACCGTTCCAAGATTTCAAAGCATGGACCTGGAAGTGGAGGTATTAGATAACACCCTTTTCCCCACCAGTCATCTTACTGGAACCCTTGAGAAAAAGGTAATTTTTTAAAAAATAAATTTATTTATTTATTTTTAGTTTTCAACATTCACTTCCATAAGATTTTGAATTTCAAATTTTCTCCCCATCTCTCCCCTTCCCCCACCCCAAGATGGTATGTAAATTGATATAGGCTCAACATATACATTCATTTTAAAGCTATTTTC